TTTTTTTTTTTTGCGGTACGTGGGCCTCTCACTGTTGTGGCCTCTCCTGTCGTGGAGCACAGGCTCCGGACGTGCAGGCTCAGCGGCCATGGCTCACGGGCCCAGCCTCTCCACGGCATGTGGGATCCTCCCGGACCGGGGCACAAACCCGTGTCCCCTGCATCGGCAGGTGGACTCTCAACCACTGCGCCACCAGGGAAGCCCGGAAAAGGGGATTTTGAGGGATAATTTGGAGAGTTTTTGCCCGAGAAAACTTGGAGTTTCTCAGGGTCATTCCTCATGCTGCTTTTTAAATCTACCCTCACTCCTTACTTTAAACACCAGTTATATCCTGACAACCCTAAAATTCCTATCTCTTGCCCATCCTCTCAACTATAGGATTTTTTATATTCAGCTACCCTCAATATTTCTGTTTGTATGCTTAATAAAATCTTACACCTGTGCAATTCTGATATCTTGATTTCTCGTCAAACCTGATCTTTTGCCATCTTCCTTGTCTCAGTGACTGGCATCTCCATTCTTCTTGTCGCTCAGTCCAAAACCCTTAGAATCCTACTTGTCTTCTCTTTTTTTCTCATTCTTCACATCCAGTACATCAGTAAATCCTCTTGACTCTGCTTTCAAAATATGTCCAGAATCCAGCCACATCTCACCATCTGTAGGGTCGCCACTCCAGTACAAGTGCCCGTCGTTGTCGACCTGGAATCGTGGTCTCCCGTGTGCCCGCCCCAGCTCCACTCTTCATAGCAGCCAGGGGAACCTTTTAAAACCATAAATGAGATCATGTAGCTCTTCTGTTTAAAACTCTCCAGAAACTTCTTACGTACTTAGAAGAAAATCTAAAGTACAAATCATGACCAACAAAGCCCTTTAGCAATATGGTTTCTTACTCTCTCCTGTCATGTCTTAACACTTGCCCCTCACCCGTGGTGCTCTCGCCACACTGGCTTCCTTGATGTTCCTTCAGGTTGACTCTGCTAATGTACTTGGTGTTCCTCTTCAGATCCTTAAGACTTATTCTCTGATTTCATTCAGGTCTCTGCTCAGATGTCACTTCCCCAAAGCGGCTTCTCTGACCACCTATGTAAAATAGCACATGTCTCTTCCCTTCCATCATTTTGTATGCCGCTCCAGTGCTATTCATCTGTGTTGTGCTTAACCATTGTCTGCAAATTTTTGTGTGGGGGGGGGCGTTTATTTACTGTCTCTCACTACTAGTATGTAGGTTTTAGGAGAGATGAGAGACTGTGCACTGTCATTTCCCCAGAGCTAGAAGAGTGGCACAAAGAATGAGGTGGATAAGTATCTGTGGAATGAATGAGTTGAGGATGGAATAATGCCCCGTGGGGGAGGATGCCTGGGGGAGGATGCCTGGAGGATGGGAGTGGGAGGGGGTGCCGCCTTAGCTAGTGTTTGGAGAGCGTCTCAGAGAAGGGGACATGTGAGTTGAGGTGTGACTCAAAGGAATTACACATTTTTTGCTTTGTAATTGTTTGTCCTTTTATTTATTTGAAAAATTGTTCCTGTTAACTATACAAAAATTCAAACAAGACAAATCCCTCCTTGGAATCTCAGCTCATCCGACTCCCAAGAAAGAACCAGCAGTTACCTTTTTGGCCAATTTTCTTCTGAATCGTAATTGCTCTTTATTGCCAAATTGTTCTTTGTAAAGATCATATCAGTAACCTAAAGATATTTAAAATACCTCTTTGGATTTTGCTGGTTTCTTCTTTGTTGTCCAAAATAGTTGCTTGTACTTTTAAAAATCTCCCTTTGTCCTTTTAGAAACAGCATCTGTCTGTTCTGGATCTCTTGACGGAGTTGAGTATTCACTGCGAAAGGAGAAGGGAATTGTGAAGATGACTGTGCCACGGACGCTAGCTTTCTGCTACCTGTCATTGCTTTGGCAGAGGGAGACAATCACTCTTGCGGATCTTCTGAGGTAAGCTGGGCCTCTCGTATAATGATGCTTCTACTGACTATCTGTGTGCACTAGGAGACAACCTTGGGTATTTTGGATTTTACAAGGAGGCTTAAATTAAGGAAGGGAAAGATTGGGCAGTCTGAATTCTAACTCTGAAATTTAATTCTCCTTGGGCTAATAATTCATCTCCATGGTTTCCTTATTTATGTAGTGGAAATAATACTATTTATCTTACAATGGGGTATTAGAAAATTAATTATCTAATGTGAGTAAAGTGCTTTGAAGATGAAAAGTGACATTTAATTAACTGAGTAGTATTATTAAGTGTTTTTCATTTTTGACAGAGAAGGTGAACAGATGACCTTTACATTGGCAAATGTTAGTAGTAGTTACACAAAAGCATACATTGGTATTGTTAAGAGCTAAAATATAGGTTGTGTTTATAAGCCAAAATTAAAAACAAAGCTATTAAAAGAACCTGTTATGTAGATAGTCAGCATTTACATTTTTCAAGGTAATCTGCCGCGTTTTATAGTTAATGAATAAATTATGGCGTTCTGTGTAAGAATTTCTCATTAAATAGAAGATGTGCCAAAATCATTAATGCGTTAATTTTCCCTTGCTTAATGTGTGTTCTAAATAATAACATCTGAGGTTTTTTTAGTGTGTAGAGTGATTTTAAGAGCACAGATTTAGAACCAGACTCCTGGGTTCAAATCCTGCCTCTGCCACTTATGTGTTATAGGACCTTGAGTAAGTTATTTAATTTCTCTCTGCCTCTGTTTCTTCATTGGTAAAATGAGGCTAATAAGAATATCTACCTCAGAGGGTTTGAGACTACTTTCAATAATTAGTACTACATGAAAAGCACACAGTGCCTGGCACGTAATAAGAACTCAATGCTGGTTATTGTTCTTTATGTTTTCTTCATCATCATCATAGGCACTAGGCCCTTTGATTAAATAAAATGCCTCTGGTAAATGAGGATAGTGCCTTTGAATTTGGCCACATCAACCAAATAACAAGGCTTTTCTTAGATGTGATTAACAGTACATGCAAGTTGAAAACTTCCCTAATACGGAAAAGGAAATAGTCAGTCATGTCCAGGAAGCGCAGAGAGTCCCATACAGGATAAATCCAAGGAGAAACACGCCAAGACACATTAATCAAACTGTCAAAACTTAAATACAGAGAAAAAATACTAAAAGCAGTGAGGGAAAAGCAACAAATTACATACAAGGGAATCCCCATAAGGTTAACGGCTGATCTTTCAGCAGAAACTCTGCAAGCCAGAAGGGAGTGGCAGGACATATTTAAAGCGATGAAAGGGAAAAACCTGTAACCAAGATTACTCTACCCAGCAAGGATCTCATTCAGATTCGACAGAGAAATTAAAACCTTTACAGACGGGCTTCCCTGGTGGCGCAGTGGTTGAGAGTCCACCTGCCGATGCAGGGGACACGGGTTCGTGCCCCGGTCCGGGAAGATCCCACATGCCGCGGAGCAGCTGGGCCCGTGAGCCATGGCCGCTGAGCCTGCACATCCGGAGCCTGTGCTCCACAACGGGAGAGGCCACAACAGTGAGAGGCCCACGTACCGCAAAA